TGTTATGTAACAATTTTACCTCAATTAAAATGTTTTGCTGTACATTCCAGGTACAAGACACTGGATGGAGTGGCATAAATACAGTGCATGACCTCTATACTGTGATATGTCTAAAGTTGTGAGTTTTGTCCAAAAAGCTTGCAAAAGGGGGTAAGAGTCGATTGCAGAACTTAGATTAGAGCTCAGGACATCTGACACAAACCCTTGTAATTTCTGCCTCCGTAAGCCTCTTGTTTGTGATTCCTCTGAGGAGGTTATTTGTCATTAATGCCTTTGTGGGGACACTGCTGAATACTTACGGTACTTCAGTTCCAAAGGATTGTTAAAGACAAATAAAAATACCATTAACATAAAAACAAAGCACTCCAGCTCTCAGATCTGTGAGACAGCCTGTCCCTAAGTCACTGTAGCCTATTCCCTAAGTCCATACAGCTAAGAGACCAGACAGCTTCGTCACACGGGAGTCATGTCCAGCAGCCCAGTCTCTCTTCGAGATGGAAAGAGTACACAACAGTAGGCACTTACTCTCCCAAACTCCCAGTGATCTGGAAGTAAGAAAACAGAAGAGTCAGAGCTTTGTTCTTTTAGCCAAACTCCCAATATTCATGGGCTCATATTCTTAGGAAGACTGTGTCTGGCAAGGATGGGAGAGTCCGTCACGGCCTCTAATGAGATTAGGGGTATAGTTGGCTTCTGTTCATATCATTCATCTTATGATCTTTTGCCTAATGGGGACAATGTGACAAACTGTCACCACAAAACATATTTCACAGTGTCAGTAAAAAGTCTGACCCAATCCAGAGGAAAGTGAATGGGGGAGAGTGAGAGTGCTTAAAACCATGTCAAAAAGGGGGGGGGGGCGGTGGAGACACAGCCAAAGGAAGTCAGGATATTTAGTCCAGGAAGGAACAAGGAGAGTAGACGTAGGGGTACGATGATCACTTTCAATATCTGAAGGTCTTTATGTCTCCAAAGAACAAGACGCAAACTTTGCTCTGTGGGTTCAAAGGGCAACGCTAAGAGGAATACTTGTGCGCGTGCTCGGGCGGAGCAGCCGGAGTTATGGAGTCTACTCATTTCTTGTTTCTGCTCAAAGGATAAAATTCACGGTTTCTCAGGGATATGTTTGAAGTCAAGCTATAAAATACATCAGTTATGAGCAACATATTCAATGTGAATACAGAGATCACTTGCTGATTCACTTATCTTTACTTTTCATATTAAAGCAAGCAGAGCTTACACAGGGACTGGCTGATGATACCCCCACCAAAGGGAGTCGCACTGAGGGCTAAGGAAATGTGTGTTCATGCAAATATGGGAGCCTTCAAGCACTTACAGCACTACCGTAAATTTGCAAAAGGAAAAGGATTCTGTTCACCTTTGGTCTCAGAGGGTAACTGGAAGGAAATTGGATCCCCGAAGCAAACAAAAAAAGAGGCAAGGAGTGTCTAAAAATAGCTGTTTTAAAAAGGTGTGGGAAAGCCCACTTGTCTCCCCACTAATTCATGTTTCACATTTGTCTCTGCTAAGAAGACTGTGAACAGGGGCTCAACTATGAATTGTAGCACGCCCTAGTTGTAGTCTAATTCACTAGTCTTTTCATGGAGTTAAATGAGGTATCAAACTCCAAATCCTTCCTTGAAGGAGTTGGAGTCGTGGGGGATGCTTTCTTCTATGTCTGAGATTCAGGACCTTAGACTTCTGGGTGCATTCTGTCTGCATGGCCTTATGGGTGGCTCATATCATCTCTCTTCTGGAATAGTATTGAGCAGCATCAGCAGCTATTGTGTTGAAAACTGGATCTAACTTCTGGCCAAAATACCATCTCCTTAAACTGTCAAAGCAATTCTGAGGCAGGTGCTATCATTATCCCAATTTTCCAGATGAAAAATCAGGCACAAGGGAGTTAAGTGACAAAAGACACACAAATAGTAAATGGCAGAGTCTAAATTCAGACCAAGTCAGTCATGATTTTAACCACTGTACCATACTTCTGCAGGGTGCTTCTCTGTGTGCTGCCACATACCGTCCTCCAAAGCAGCTGGACTTCCTAGTCAGAAAATGGGATTTAGTCACTGGCGCTTGGTGGTCCCTTTGTGGAACCCTCAAATATCAAATAGATCAAATATCCCTGTGTTTGCCTGGCTGTAGAGAGAGAGGGCCAGAGATCTAAGGAGGTAACACTCCCTTGCCTGTGCTGCCAGGACACAGACAACAATCCCTGTCTCCACATCCCATCGTATGCAAGGCTTCCGGCTTCTCTGCTGAAAAGGGCATGACTTCTCTGTTTCTCAGCTTTTCTCGCCCTTGGTTCTTGCTATCTCTTGCTCTCTGGTTTTATTTCCTCTTCTTACTCCCTTTCTGTTCCTTTATTCTTTTTTGTCTTACTTCTTCCCATTCATCCTTTCCTTCCTGCTTTTCCCTACAATCCTCTTAATTATCTCTTTTATCTTCCTTTATTTCTCCCTTCTGTATTGTCCATTCCCTTCACTGTTCACCACTTCCCTTAATTCTCTTATCAGCCAGATTCTTTCCAAACGGACAGAAATGGAAGAATAAGGGATTTGGTATCCAGTGTACTAGACCAAACTTACCAATTCTCTTTCCCTGATGCAAAACTAGAAAAAGTCTGAAGCTTGGCTGAGCCCTAATTCGCTGGGAAAGCAGCCTCTCCCCACACTGTCTCTGTAGAAGTTAATAGGTGCCTTTTAAGTGAAAGCGAACAGTTGGGAGAATGGAGGAGCACCCAATTTTCCCTAAACGTCCTACCTTCATCCAACAGCAAAGAAAGCTTCCCTCTTGCTACCACTTGGCACCTTTAGTCACATGCTTTTTGCTTGGCCCTACAGTCAAAGTTCCTAGTTAAAACAAAGAGAGAATTCAGAATTTGGCTGGCCCTAAACCCTCACTGTACAAGAGCGCAGCCGAAAACAAAAGTCTTATGAAAGGCCGTCGGCAAGTCACGCGCAGAAATCCAGAACCCAAGCCTTCTCCTACCAGCCCAAGACTCTTTGTTAGAGCCACTTCCCTCTCTTCCCGCAGTGACTCCACTCTCCCCTTGGCGGTTTCCTGCCACTTGACTTCACCACCACTAATTTTCACCTTTTATTTCCCCGTAGTCTGGACCCCCTGTTTTTAATTTGCCTAATTATATTACAATTTTACAATTATATTGGTTTAGAAAGTTGTTCTATGTCTATGTCCTGCCTGGAATTTTAGATTCAATGTAATTGTGGTCTCTCCCATTAGTTACTTAAATTAGTCTTACGCGCTTAGGGGTGGGGCAATGATTCCCCTGCTAATGAACCTGGCAGTGTGTCGGGAGGGACAAGTCTTGAGGATGAATGTTCTGGGTTCCGCAGTGTCGCCTCTTCTCCTTCGTGCACAGGAATGTCTCCGAGGGAAGCCTGTGCTCTAGATGAGACTCTAACTGTTTACAGCCCAGCCTTAGCCTCGGAGACGTAGTATTTGCTGATTAAGCTTGGCAATAGATTGTGTGTTTTGGTGAATTGACGATGGTGCCGATTATCATTAAATTACAATGGAAATGGAATGTTTGTGGATGTGTGCAGTGAGCTTGAGCATAGTCAATGCCTGAGTAGGGAAATAGTGTATTCAGCCAAAGGGATGGTTCTGGAAAGTGGGTAGTCAATGAAACCTAAAGTACATCTAGGCTGGAACCCCTGACTGGATGAATAGGGTTAATATGCTACAGATGGAGTAGCTGTGTTCCCTACCTCTCTGTGAGAGAAAAGAAACAGTGCCACAGATTGCAGTAATCAACCTCTTTCTATACATGCATCAAGTTTTGTGTGAGTCTTATTGGTGTGAGCTGTGCTGCTGTGTGCTCTGTGGGGATCAAGTGTACTGGGCTGGAGTGGGACTTGTTTGAGTTTGCCATCGTTTCGAGGGGTTTGGTAGGCTGGAATGGGCTTTGCTAGGTTGGAGTAGGCTGCCCTGTACTCTGAGGTGTGCTGGAGTGGGTGGGCTTGTCTGGGATGCAATGGGGTAACAAGGCTGACAGAAGCAGGAAAAGAGAAACTTAACAATGGAATAACTCCACTTCAAGGCGTCATTTCCCAGCTTGGCAAATATATGATTCATCCATTCATACCAAAAATGTTCAGTGAGCACCTTTGGAGTAACAGGCTCCTTTTCTATTTACTCGAGGATACAGAGATAACAAAATGGACACTAACTTTAAGGAGCTCTTGGGTTAGGGGGAAAGGCAGACAAGTAAACAGGGAGTTATAATAAAGTTAAAATAAATGAAAATAAATGCAAAGGGTGTGTCATGTGGTATCACCTATCTCCAAATCTCAGTCACTTAACCCAGCAAAAGTATATTCCTCATGTATACAGAGTCCATTGTAGATCCAAGTAATTCTCCAGGGCAGTTGTCTTCCAGTTGCTGCCTTATCATTACAGCATGTTTCAGTATTATGGTGGCTCTACATCAACATGTTTCCAAGATGACCATGACAGCGGGTTCTGGCATTGGACATTAATTGTCCCATCCAGGGAGGGACACACATCACTTCCTCCTGCAACCAAAGCCAGTGGGTGACGTAGCTGTTCCCTAGTTTAAGTGGGCGGGGCACAGGAGTAGGAGTACAGTCATCTGACATTCCTGGAAGTGGGAGAGAGTGTCTGTTGGAACCTTTGTAACCTACCACGTGTAAGGGTCCTCTCGGCGTGAGAGCTGAGCACATGTGGATGTCAGAGATCTCTAAGCATTCTTCCTGAACCTTAGAGTTTGGGGATTCTGCTGTCATTTTCAATAATACCTAAACAGATGGACTTTGTACCTGCACCTACCGTGTTCTTCATGAAAAAAAGTAGAGGTGAGGGTTTTTTTGTTTTTTTTCTGTGACCATGCCAAGTATCCTTTCTCAGACCTAGCAAGTCGGCTCTCATTTGGAGCATTATTGCACTGGACTGTCTCTGAGCTGAGGCAACAGGCTTTCCTGACACTCTACTTTTCTACTTTATTTGACCAGATGCAGTAACTGAAGTGAAAACCGACATCTATGTGACCAGTTTTGGCCCTGTGTCAGACACTGACATGGTAAGTATAGTTCCTGGAAAAGTGAAGTGAAAGATGATGCCAACAGTTCAAAGAAAATAAATTGGTGTTTTCCTAGGGCAGGGCCTTGTAGCTATGTTCTAGGAAAAAGTCTTGTCTCAAATGAATTTGCTACCCTCACCATCCTACATTTAGCCAAATCCATCTTTTGTCCTGCTCGACCTACCTATTCACATATAAAGCATATCGGGAGTATCCTTCCCTTCCCACCCCGCCAACACATCTTTCAAACTTCAGCTTGGCTCCCTATCATCAGTAAAACTTTTCCTGACTCTTGCCTTCACCTTTTGCCAGCACCTCACAATATTAGCATAAATTGGTCATGTGAGGACAGCCTTGTGTTGGGCACTTTCAGTCAAGCAACGGGTAGTGTCATCCAAGTCTGTGCCTTGCAAACAGGTCACATTCACTGGGGACATGGACTGACCAGGGTGATGCAAACTATTTGGAAGAAGAGTCAACACCATTTCTGGAACTGGTCCTTCTACAGATGTGAGCAGGGAAGAGCTTTGGGGCAGATTCAAGGAATGCAGCAGGGCACAGCAGTACTAGCGAGAGGGTGACTGACGAGCCGTCTGCAAGGACTTCCCCTTCAACCATTCTCTCTTGCTGTCAAGGCAGAGAATGCAGTGAAGAGGTGAGGCAGGAGACCCCATCCTAATGGACTACCACCTAATCAATACCTGCTAAGTATCAGAAACTTGAATAATTATCATGTAGAGAAACAAAGGGGCTATTATTTGCTCAGTATGCCTGGCAGTTATTAGATGCTCAATAAATTTTTGGTGAATGAGTGACTTTGTGTTGAAGATAAAAGTCTTAAAATCATAAAAAAATATCAAAAATTATGAAATGTCCATATTTATCACTTAATTTTTTTTCTGTATCTCTATATTCAGTGGGAATACTACTTAGGAGAGGACAAAGCTTCTTTTGAACTGTTAGGTAAATACAAAATGTTGTACAGGGATGTCATAGAATTTGTCTCATAGGTAATGCAGAACCATTGAGTGGACTTGTGTAGGACAGGAAAGATATACATGTTTCATTCTAGAATCATTGGTTTGGCAGTCTGTATGGAATGGGGTGCAAGGGGGAAAGGCCTCGAGGCTGACAATTGGCGTGCTGATTTTATATGGCTCTCCTTTCAATAAAGCAAGATCTGTGAGCCAGTTGGAAAAGTAGACTAGTTCGCAGGAGAGGAAGTCATGAGTGGTTGTGAGGGCAAAAAAAGGGAAAGTAGAGGCCTGAACTTTGTGTTTCAAGTGTGGAGTAAAGAGTAGAATACGGAGATACAGCAGACTGCATGTTAACTCCTTAATGGGAAGTAAGTCTTCATGGCTTCTCTGGAACTTACCAGAGTACTTGACATATAGGGGGAGCTCAGTAAGGATCATGTTTGATGCATGAGGGATGGAGACCAGTCTCTCAAATGGGTAGCAGGAAAGCTTGAATGTCTAGATCTCTCCCCCCGCAACACATTGACTACTAGTGCCCACAACTTCAGATCCAAGCATGTGTTAAAACTGTTGCCATTTGGTCATTCAAAAGGTCCTCCTTAATAGCCCAACTCCACATTAAGGGACTTCTAGGGTCCCCTATATTTAGAGAGCTCACAGATCATTGGAGATGATCAGCTTCACCAGGGATATGCAGCCCTCTCTTTATACTGCTGGGAATTAGCAATAGATTAGGACTTTTTAGAAGAAAGCAACTAAAGCTACCCTTCGAACACACACACACACTCTAACTCTCAGTCATGTATCAATATCCACAAACGTGCAAACAAATGTATGTGCACACAAGAAAGTACATACAGAATACAAAGAGCCCACATGTTAGTCCAGGTGCTCCACAGACACGATGTGCAAACACATACCTACATCCAGGGGTACTACAGAAGCGCACACACAGCCCCTGCCCAAACCAGCCTTCTCCCTGCTCCTTCCCCATACGAGCAGGCGCATGTGGGTGGGCACAGACTTTGGAGACCCTTCAAGCAATCCAGACTTTCTCTCTGTCTCTTTTGAAGTTTCATGTTCCACTTGCTTGTTTGTTTTTCTACCTCACGGTAAAGCGGAGACAACAGAATGATTCCTTTCCGCTGGCGAGGGCAGACTTTGATCAAATAAATTTCAGGTTATTTCTAGCTGTACTTCCATTCTGTCATACACAGAATAGCTATGAACACTGGCTGAGAAACACTTTTCTGGTGTTTTAAAAAAACTTCTTCCTGTATTACTGTGGCAACTGACCCAGGGTCAGAGATGACTGGGTGAAACATCAGTCATCTGACATTACCAACTAATTGAAGCAAGAACCCAGTCTCTTCTGAGATCATAGACTGCTTAGAAAAGTCGATGAAGATGAGGGCTGGCTTGGTTCTTGACTCATTTCCAGCCGAATAGGAAGTTTTTGACCAGAATACTTTCCCAAGGAAGTAGAGACAGACTTTTCTTTACAAAAAGGGGAAATTATAGTGCTGGTTTGAGCACTGAACCAGCACAACCCATAACCCTTTGCAGTCATTGCAGTCCTTCATCAAACACTGACCCCTGCAGACATACATCCTGAGTTTGACAGAAAGCTCCATGAAGGGGCATGTCTGTTTTTTTCAATCTCAGTACCACCAATGCCTAACTCAGTGTTTGACCCTTGGTAGGCTCTCGACTATTTGTTAAATGCAAGAATTAATGAGATGGAACAAATCAGATCTGAGGAAATTATGACTATGTTCCTTTACTTGACTGAAAGTTCTTCAAAGGCAAAAGACATGTCAGGTACATTTCTATCTCCAGCACTTTGTAAGTGGTGAGACAATATGAAACATTAGTAGCATGCCCTGAAGATAAAGGGTAAAAGTAGCTTTCTTCAAGAGACACTGTTGAGGAGATATTAGTGAGTCTATCATTGATGACTCTAAGCTTTGGGCTACTAGTTTTGGTGGCTTCTCCCTCTGTGAAAATAAGGATCTGTGACAACAGGGAATTGGGCAAACATGAAATCTGACCAGTGGTAGATGTTTCCAAGGGAAAAGTCAGAGAAGGAAACTTAATGTAGAATACAAGACATAAGTTGGAAGCTGGTTACAGTGGGAATTTTATAGGATCGTGAATGAAAGGCTTGTGTCAACCATTTGCAATTAATGGAGTTCGATATTCCTGTGGTGCATAGCTCCTCAGCAGTAATACCGGCCCTGTGTCCGTGGTCTCCCAGGAGAGAAACAGAACACGGATCTAATCCCAGTTCGAATGGACTGAGGCCACATGACCTTCCTTGATATTATATTTTTAGGAGTTTAGACCATTTTCAGAATCAATGTGTGGAAAGATGATGGAGGTGGCAAAATGAGAGGAAAGCTGCAAAAGTTTTAGTGAAAATGCGGTTTCATTGCCACTTCTCTTTCAGACTGTTCGGTCTGCTCCTTACCAATGAGCAATGGCTCTTGGCACGTGGAAGCCTTTCCTGGTCTCCCAGGATCCTTTGGATTAGAATGCAGAGAAAGTGGGGTACTGGTTTCAGAATGGCATGTTAGGCATGTGATCAGTGATGGGAAAGGAAGGTCGTAAGGTGAAAATTGATATTTTGTGAGTAGATTTTTTAAGTGTTCTCAACACGAAGGAAGGGGACTATGTGAGGTGAGAGATGCATTCACTTGATTGTGGTAATCATTTCGCAATGTATATGTATATTAAGTTATCACGTTGTATAACTTGAAAAATCTTATAATGCAACTTACATATATACAATTTTTACTTGTCAGTCATACCTCAGTAAAGCTGGAAGAAAAAGAAAGGAAGGTAGCAACTGAGAAAAAGTTTGGACGCTTTTCTGGTCCAAACCACCTTCCGACAAAGCTGCTATTCTAGCTCTCATCCTAAAGCCCCAGGTTCTGCCGTGGTCCTTGAGTATGCCAGAAGTTTACAGGGTCCTGAATTATGTATTCAACAAATATCTGTCTGAATGTATTGATAAAGCTAGTAAGAAAATAAAGAGGACAAAGAGTACTAATGTTACTAGAGTAGAGAACAACCAGGAAACTTAAAATGCCAATTTTAGGTTTGGTCAACCTCACGCATCCCAGGGATACTTAAACTGCTTAGACACCTGTTAGGGAACACATGCCACCTGCCACTTGTCAACGAAGAAACTTCTAGGGTGTACAGTGGACAGCCAGGTAATGGTGCAAGTAGGCAACACAATAAGACAACTAACAGCATAACATAATGAGGAAAAATGAAATAGAGGCTTGGGAAATGAGAACCCATAAGAAACATTGTAATTCTTGATAACAGGTTTAGGTGCCATATATTTTGGTCTCAGAACTGCTTATGAAAATCATGCTAACTTACCAGAGTATCCAAAGACCATACAGGAACAAAGGTGGTGTTAATTAAAAAAAAAGTATCACAGGGACCTCTTTCCTCATGGCAGTGGGCTTGAAGTTATTGCACCTGTTTCCCCACTAGCAGTGGAAAAAGTAGCTAGGTCAACTTCAAGCTCTCACTCACTGGTGTCTCAGGCACAGAAGGGAGAGGAGCCTTTGTCTATTGTGAGAGCCTCTGAGGCTGTCATTTTCCTCTTATTTAATGGGCTACCATATTCATTCATGAAACATAGAAAGGGATTCGTGCCTGCGGGTTTTTGTGTAGGAGTCCCTGACCAGGAATCTCCTGGGCTACTTTTATGTAAAATAGACAGGACACATAAACAATACTCATAAGACTATTTCAAAGCCTAAATGCAACTGAAAGAGGCAAGTGGATTCATGGGTAAACAGGGATGACAGAAGCACGAAAAGAGAAGCTTAACAGTACAGTAACTTCTCTGGGTATCGTTATCGTTTCCAATGTGGCAAAATATGATGAAACTCACCCATTCATAACAAAAATGTGTATTATTTTTTTCTTTTTGTATTATTACATCTCTATTTTTCTTTTTTGTTTTCTGATTCACTGATTTTTTCATTCTGACTAGATCATCTTTTATTTATTTATTTATTTTAATGAGAAACTCATCAGATCCCTGCCGTCCCTGGCTCCAGGGGCTGGCAAGCAGTGCCTCCCTGGAGCCCCAGGTCGGAGGCGGGAGGAGACTGGGGACAGGGCAGATGAGGGATGCTGATGCACATGCCACCCGTGTGCCCCACTGGGCCCTGCCTTCCCTACCGACAAGCACTACCTCTTTCTTTAGTTTCCTTGGGGTACTCTGTGTTCCTTCTGATTTCTTGAGGTAGATGAGCTTACAGTTTTCCTTTTTCTTAAGGCTTTCTCCTTCTTAAAAATTTATTGAGTCTATTTCTTTTTTGTTCTTTTGTTCATTTGTTTTCATATTTAGCTTCCACATATAAGTAAGATCATACAGTATTTGTCCTTCTCTGTCTGACTTTTTTCACTTACCATAATACCCTGTAGGTCTATTCATGTCACAAATGGCAAGATATCATTCTTTTTAATGATTCAATAATATCGCATTGTGTATATATATCACCTCTTCTTTATCCATTCATCAGCTGGTGAACACTTTGGTTGCTTCCATATCTTGGTTATTGTAAATATTACTGCAGTAAACGTAAGGGTGCATATGTCTTTTTGAGTTAGTGTTTTTGTTTTCTTCAGCTAAATACCCAGAAGTGGAATTTCTGGGTTGTATGATAGTTGTGTTTTTAAATTTTTAAAGAACTTCCATACTGTTATCCATAGTGGCTGCACCAGTTTATATTTCCACTAACAGTGCACAGGGGTTCCCTTTCCTGCACATACTCACCAACACTTATTTCTTGTCTTGTTGATACTAACCATTCTACCTAGTGTAAGGTGATCACTCATTGTGGTTTTAATTTGCATTTCCATGAAAATTAGTGATGTGGAGCATCTTTTCATGTGCCTTTTGGCCATCTGGATGTCTTCTTTGGACAAGTGTCTGTTCGGGTCCTCTGTCCCTTTTTAAAACTGGATTATTTGTGGGTTTTCTTGGTGTTGAGTTGTTGGAGTTCTTTATATATTTTGAATATTAACCCCTCATCAAATATATCATTTGAAAATATGTTCTTCGTCAGTCAGTAGGTTGCCTTTTCATTTTGTTGATGGTTTCCTTTGTTGTGCAGAAGCCTTTTAATTGGATGTAGTCCCATTTATTTGTTTTTGCTTTTGTTTCCTTTGCCTAGGTAGGCATATCCAGAAAACAAAATTGCTAAGGCCAATTCCAAGTTTACTGCCTGTGTTTTCTTTTGGGCGTTTTATGGTTTCAGGTCTTACATTTAAATCTTTAATCAATCAGGAGTTTATTTTTGTGTGTGGTATGAAGACAGTGATCCAGTTTCATTTGTTTGCAGGTAGCTGTCTAGTTTTCCCAGCCTCATTTATTGAAGAGAGTGTCATTTCTCCATTGTATTCTTATCTCATTTGGCATAGATTAATTCATATATGAGACGGATTTATTCTGGGCTCTCCATTCTGTTCCATTTATCTGTGTGGCTGTTGTTGTGTCAGTACCACACATGGTACCTTCGGCTTTGTTCTTTCTCAAGATTGCTTTAGCTATTTGAGGTCATTTGCAGCTCCAAAAAATTTTAGGATTTATTTTTTATTTGGTCTAGTTCTATAAAAAATGCTGCTGCTATTTTGATAGGGTTTGCATTGAATCTGTACATTTCCTTGGGTAGTCTGGACATATTAACAGTATTCTTCTAATTCATGAGCATGATATATCTTTCCATTTATTTATGTTGTCTTCAGTTTCTTTCTTAAATGTCTAATAGTTTTCAGGGAACAGGTTTTTCACCTCCTTGGTTAGATTTATTCCTAAGCTATTTTATTCCTTTTGATGCAATTATAAATGGAATTGTTTTCTTAATTTCTCTTTCTGTTAGTTTGTTATTAAATTATAGAACAGATTTCTATATATCGATTTTGTATCATGCAGCTTTACTGACTTCATTTATTAGTTCAAATAGTTTTTGGTGGATTCTTTGGGGTTTTCTATATACAATATCGTGTCATTTGCAAGAGGTGACAGTTTTACTGCTTCCTTACCAATCTGATGCCTTTTATCTCTTTATTTTGTTTGCCTGCTGTGGCTGTGGCTTCCAGGACTATGTTGAATAAAAGTAGTGAGAGTGGACATCCTTGTCTTGTTGCTGATCTTTGAGGAAAAGCTTGAGTATGATGTTAGCGGTGAGTTTGTTGTAGATGGCCTTTATTATACTGAGGTACATTCCTTCTATACCCTATTTGTTGAGGGCTTTTATTATGAAAGGGTGCTGTATATTGTCAGATGCTTTTTCTGCATCTATTGTGATGATCACATGATTTTTATCTTATTCTATTAATGTAGTATATCACACTTACTGATTTGCGTATGTTGAACCATCCTTGCATCCCAGGGATAAATCACACTTGGCTGTGGTGAATGATCCTTTTAACATATTTTTTTAAAATTTCTTTCTCTACTTTTATTAATGAATGCATGAGCAAAAACAGCTGGCCTCACAAACATTTCTGCTGAGCTGCAGTGTTGTAAAGAAGGTGAATTCCAGTGTTTCGGTCTTGGAAAGGACCTTTAGAGCTAACTAATCTCACTCTCGTACAATACAGGGGTCCTCTTCCTAAGTCACTCAATCCAGGGACACAGAGCCAGAGTCTTTTGAGTCCTTAAAGCTGGAGTGAGCAGTGAAGGTTAACAGTTCAGCCTTGGGAATCCAGAGCAGTGATTTTTTTTTTTTACTGTGGACCAAGATTCATCCCTCCCTCCCTCCCTCCTTCCTTCCTCCCTCCCTCACTCTCTTCCTTCCTTCCTTCCTTCCTTCCTTTTCATTTGCAACATTGTAGTTACTAGATTCCCCCCATTATCAAGTCCCCCCCCCACATACCCCATTACAGTCACTGTCCATCAGCATAGCAAGATGCTATAGAATCACTACTTGTCTTCTCTGTGCTATCCTGCCTTCCCTGTGCCCCCTTATTCCCCTTATCCTGCCTTCCCACCCACCTTCCCCAGTCTCTTTCCCTTTGGGAACTGTTAGTCCATTCTTGGGTTCTGTGAGTCTGCTGCTGTTTTGTTCCTTCTGTTTTTGCTTTGTTGTTATGCTCCACAGAGGAGGGAAATCATTCAATACTTGTCCTTCTCCACCTGGCTTATTTCACTGAGCATAATACCCTCTAGCTCCATCCATGTTGTTGCAAATGGGAGGATTTGTTTTCTTCTTATGGCTGAATAGTATTCCACTGTGTATATGTACCACCTCTTCTTTATCCATTCGTCTACTGATGGACACTATTCAAACATTGTTTTCTCTCTTTTTGTCCCTAGGAATACACAATTGATGTATTTTTTCGACAGACATGGCATGATGAAAGACTAAAATTTGATGGCCCCATGAAGATCCTTCCACTGAACAATCTCCTGGCTAGTAAGATCTGGACCCCTGACACCTTCTTCCACAATGGCAAGAAATCAGTAGCCCATAACATGACCACACCTAACAAGCTGCTCAGACTGGTGGACAATGGAACCCTCCTCTACACAATGAGGTTAGAGAGTGATGCCCTCACATCTAAAGTATACTGGGGGTAGGATGGGTTGAAAGCAGCATGTTTTAGGATATCTATTGAAAATTCTGTCAAGTTTAAAGATTAGAAATGCACATATAGGTTACAGATATGTGCATTTGTAGTATACACACTCACAAACATACATATTGTAGACATATATAAATAGAGTATTGGAAGTATGAATATTCTCAGACACATGGTGATATATGTGATTTATGAATGCATGCATACTCAGAAACACATGTGGACTAACAGGCATATACATATTCAAGGTCACTTAAAAACAGACTCACAACTGTATGCACAGGTGTGAACAGTGTGTGTGTGTGTATCTTAAGGATTATACAGAGAAGGAGAAATATACTTAGAAAATAGACAGTAAAAACAGCCAGTGTCAAAGGACAGTAAGGAAAAAGAATCAAGGTAGTAGATACCCAAGTAGCATGGGCGAATGATGGTGCTACAAGCTTTGGGAGAGCATATGAGAGTTGAGAGAAATTTCAAGAGGATAAATCTGCAAGGTTAATTTTGGACAAGAGAAGCTTCAGAAGGTTGTAGATTATCCAGGGATAGACATCTAATAGCTGTTGGATATACAAGTCTTAAGATCAAGAGAGATACAAGCTAGAGATGTAAAGTGTGATACTGTCACTATGTTGGGACAACCATGTGAATGGATGTGATCACTTTAGGAAAGGAGAGTGAGAAATGTAGAGTTAGATGAAATCATGCCAAAGGTCCAATCACGTAGCATCACTATTATTAAGGCAGAAGTTGAGAAAGAAGAACTTATGAAGGAGACCCAGAAGGAAAAGTAAGGAATGTATTATTAGAGCCATTAGTGTGCAGTATCTTGAAAGGTAAGTGTGGTAGTCAGTGCTGCTACTTCCAGTATTTCCAGTTTATGTCCTGGGCACAGGGGTAGTATTGCACTTCCATAGAGCGTTGAAGTTAGGCATGAACAAATGACTTGCATTGATCAACCAAAAGTGAGTGGAAATAGTATGTGTCACCTCTGAAGGAGGATAGGAAACTTTTAAGAGCTAGTACGTGATTTTCCATGTTCCTCTTCTCCACTGGCCACAGTGAGTAGCATTCTGCCATGGAGGTAAACGTTGAAAAGGCGGTGGGAAGGATGGAAGGAATAGAAGCATGAATAATGATAATGTATGAAGGAGAATTTAGAATAGAGCATAAGTGGAGGAAGAGATAGAAGAGAGACGTAAGTGTAATAAAGTACATACAGAGAAGAGCAAAGAAGCTGGAGCAAAGAGACGATGATGGGCAGGAGAGCGAGTGAACACGCCGAAACTGAGAACAGTAGAGGAGAAGGAATAGAGAAGGAACAAGGATAGCAGAGAAACTGAATAATAAAAGGAAGAGAGGATAAAGGAGGTTTGAGTTTTGGAGGAGGGGTAGAAAAGAGAGAAGAAAGGAGAGGAAAGGAGGGGAATGTTGAAACGTGAAGAAGAGAGGATGCAGATTGAGGTGGGCAAAAGATGAAGCAGACCAAAGGATTCGTAACCAGAAAAATCGAGTTAGGTGAATGGGAAAAAGATAATCACTTGTACCTTCACTCTAGTCGGAACGGGACAAAGAAGTGGAGTTTGAGAGGCTGCGAGTCCATGCAGAATGGCCTTGTGTTTATTCTGAAGTACAGCACGGAGGAAGTCCAGACGTTTAGCAGCACGATGAAGCCATTGGTTCCCGCACAGAGTAGGGAAGGTGGGTTCGGAGGGAGGTCTAGGTTCAAAACTGAAAATAAAATTTTTGCTCTTCCTCTGCCCCCACAATTTATTCATCTAGTGTCCTTTTGTAAGACACAGATTATCTGTTTTCTTGTTCTGATAATAATGGGGCTCTTGCCTGTCTTGACGACACATGAAGAGCATAAACTGCATAAGGTCTGAAGGACACTTAGGAATTTTCAGGAAGTGTTATTTTACAGCATTCCTATTATTATTTTGATCCTCAGAAATCTTATCTGCATTCCATAGGAAAACTACAGAAGGACAGCTTCTTAGAAAAATCTGACCAAGAATTGCATAGCCATGTAATTAGGACAGTTTAGAATGAAACCTTGCCTGGCCTCATCTTGGGACCTCAGGACAACCATAAAAATGCAGACCAAAGCTCATTACCTGCTGGTTGCTTCAGCAGCAACATACTAAAACGGGAACAACACAGAGAAGATTAGTAGAGCCCAGCTCAAGATAATGTGCATGTTTATGAAGTATTTTCCATTTTTCTCACACATGGATATGAAGGGAACTTCATTTCTATTAATGACATCTTATTTATTGAAGAAGGTATGGATAAATATGTTCATTGTATTATTCTTTATACCTAATTTATATAAATGTTGCATAATATATGATGCAGCTAAAAAAGTTACATTAATTGTTTAAGTAGGAAGAATAACTACTGATTGAATTTAACTAGATTTTATCTTATTAACTTGAATCATTCATGCAACACATTTATGAGTGCTTATTATGTTTAAGGCTTTGGAATATGTGCTGAGCTACAGAGATAAATAAGATGCAGCTCATGCTCTTAATGACCTTATAGTCTAACAGTTAAAGCAGACATTGTGGACAGATAGCTGCACAATAATAATATAAAATCCCTTAACTAGAGGAAGGTGCAGAATGGTATAGAATTATAGGGTAAGGAACACCCAAAATCATGTGGAGACGTCAAAGAAACTTGCAGACATAGGTGACATTATCCTGTATCTTGAATCTTGAAGAAAGTGTAGGTAACTATCAGGCAGATGAGGGGCAGGGTGAGGTATAGGAGGGTATTCCAGGCAGAGGAAATAGCATGCACAAGGGCAGGTGTTCATGAATAAACAACATTTGTCAGAAAATTCTTGTCTTTCACTTGCTTATTCTTCCAAAAAAAATTTCTTGAGGGCTTAATGAGACTCAAATAGCATTCTGAGCCCTAAGGATAAAGTGGTAAGAAAAAATAGATATGATCTCTGCCCTCACAAGATTTACATTCTAATGAGAAAAACAATCAAACCATGATGACAGGGTAGAACAAGTGCTATGATCAGAAGAGTCCGTGGGGGATATCCACAATGAATTCCAGAGGGCATCACTTTTAAATTGAGACTTTAAAGATGTGTAGATGTAAGTTAGAATAAAAGATAGGGAGCAAATGTTCCAGGGAGAGAGTACGGCAGGTATGAAGTCCAAGGGAGTTGGGGGTGGGTACATGGTGATGATACAGAAACAAACTAAAAGAAGTTCAGTGTGATTGGACTACAGAGTAAAGTGCGCTGGAGTGGCCTGGGCTGGAGTAGGGATGCTTATGAGTTCTGTTGGCATAAAAATGATAGTGATCCATTTTTATTGGATCCATAGCTTACTGCAGGGGAATGACAGAAACAGATTTGCGTTTTAGCTGGAAGATTCTAGGAGTAGTGTGGAAGGTTGATTGGAGGAAGGCAAGGACAAAGATGAGATGCCTCCTTGTATGAGCTATAATACTCTAACAACAATAATAACAACAACTACTATGTATTGAACACCTATGAGCCAGAGACTTTATGAAAAACATCTCTTGTCATCACAAAAACTATTCAATATAGGTTTTATTATCCCCATTGAATAGATTCAGAAAGTGAATCTTGAAAGAATAAAAATGACTTATGCAAGAAGATGCACTTATTAAGCAAATGCAGGTCTGTCTGACTCAAGCTACTGCTTTATTCACTAAATAAGGCTTTGAAGAAGGATATGGATTTACGATATGATCAAGATGCTAATTGGTGGTACTTGGTGCCCAAGTGCAAGTTGGTAGGGGTCAGGATGTTTTATGAGTACTTCCTGTAAGTAAAGAGGTCCTCTAGGATAATGTACTAAGGGTTATAATGTACTAATAAAGTGCTAAGGGTTAGGAAAAATGATGATAATCCAAGTATTAATATTCCCATTGAATGTGGAGAGGCTTTTGTGTTAACATCCCCACTTTTTAAAAAATTACTAAACTGAAGTTTCAATAGAGCTGAAGTCACACCACTAATAAGTGACAGAGCTGATACAAAAACCCAAGTCACTCTAAGGTTGAGGTAAACTTTTCCCCCCACTACACCCTGCCACTTCCTCGAACAAGGGAATGGAGGGGATATCAATTTTAAGCATAATAAGTCTGAGTTGGAAATGAGAAGCTGCAATTAGAAATTCAGATCTGAAACTCTGAACTTCAACACAATAGGATTTTGGAAAATTGAATACATTGCACAGTCTCTTCTTGTGCTGGGCTACACAGTAACAGTGTCCTACACTTAGTGAAAATTAAAGAAAATGAACACTCACTTCCTTCATGACTTCCTTGATTCTTTGTAGGATTCAGTCAGTTTTGCTTTTGTGGTTGGGATGTTCCAAAGACAAATTATTTGAAAGATAAATTATGCATGATGCCAAGATGGCCCCATCCCCTAAATGTTAACAGTTAAAGCCCCTCTTCCTACTTCATATGCAAATAGCTTGTACTTGAATATTCACTCTAGACTTCTGAAATGGCCAGGAAGCAGGGGAGGCTTTTGAGCCACATTGTTAGTTGATAGAACTTAATGTAATCAAATCAACCAAGCATTGGTAGGATTGTTTCACATTTCATAATGGCTTTTTCTCTAGAGGATTCCACCTGTGTAGTTCCTTATTCATTACGTAGAAACTGACTCAAAGAACTATCCTTATCCTAACACAAGGGGGATTTACAGATCACCAGAAGTTTCCCTCACTCTAGCTCCGAAGAACCCAGCTATTTTAGATACTAGCCCTAGACAGAGCGGCATAGTGTGTGTTATAGTGAAAGTATTGGGGGTTGAGTGTCTTCTTGAAAATCCCCTTTGATCCTGCCCTTTGAGAACACTGTCAGTGCCTACTACCAGGTCTACACAGACCTTCACTGAGCAGTCAGAGTCTTCCCTGACTCCACAAGTCCCCTTTCCTCGGCTGACTAGT